GCCACAGTCAATGGATCAACCCTCCCAACCCTGCTCTTCAACTTCCTAGGGCAAAAATATACACCAGCTGGAAGTAATAAATGGAGTAACTTCAGTTCTCAAGTAATTTAAAGCCTGATGGATAAGATGCCAACCTGACTGTGTCATTCTACTACTTAAGATCTTTCAATAGCTCCCCATTAACCTAGAAAATAAAGTCCAAAGGTAGAGTATGAGATAAAGTTCTCTATGACCTGGCCCCTACTTAACTTTGCAGCTACATTTTCAAAATTCTTCATCTTATAATTTGTGCCCTGAAATGAGCAAAGTGTAAGTTCCTCACCCAGACACTACTGTGAGTCCGGCGCCCATGCCTTTGCTCATGCTGCCCCGTTGTCCTGGAGCTCCACTTCCTCCATTCTGCCATGTTCACTTCTGTTTGTCTTCGAGATTCACATTAGCTCCTCCACAGAGCTTTCCTGAACCCCAGGATATATAAGTCCTTCTCCTCAACAGCCCCACTGCACTTGTGAATGCCTCTTTTTACTAACCATCTTTTATCGAAATTATGCCCATGTATCTGTCTCCCCCACTAACTGTGTGGTCCTCTAAGGTGGAAACTGTGTCTGAATCATCTTTCTTTCTTATTTAGCACAGTCCCTGGTATCCTGTAGGGTTATAGGATTTATCTGTTGATCTAAATTCCACCAAACTGTAGAGCTCCATGAGGTTAGCTCATTCATTCCTTTATTTATTCCAGACATACTTAATGAGTGTTGTTGTTTTTTTTTAATGCCAGGAACTCTGCTAGGTTCTGGGGAGACACCTGTGAACAGAAGAGGACTTTGTCATCACAGAATTAGCTCACATTTTAATAGATGGAGATTGACAGTTGTCAAATACATGACTGAAGGCAACAAAACAAGGTAATGATTGAGGGCGAGTGGGGTGGGTTTCCCCACTTCAGAAAAAAATGAAAGGACTTTAGCAGGGCAAATCTCAGAAAAGGGCTGGTTTTTCTTCTGATTGTGACTTGCTAATATAGGAGATATGGAGATACTGCCCATGCTAATGTATACAAGTGTATGGTTATATTTGTATTCATAAACTGTTTATAAGGGGTATTACATAATCCTTAATAATAATCATTATAGCAATATACACATGTCTGTATGGTGTTACTTTTATGTATAATATTTAAGAACATAGCAAAGGTCCTAGTATATCCATGTTAGGGAGGAAACAGACTCAAATACGATCAGTGGTTTATTCCAGGCCATAGAGCCAGTGACAAAGCTTATATTCCCAGCCAGATTTTTTTACCGTAAACCCAGTGTTCTTTTCTTTATACAATGATACCTCTGTCAAAGCCTTTTCAATCCTGTTCTTCCTAGAGGAAGTTCCAACCCACTCCTCTCAGCCTTGCTGAGCCTTTCTATATAATGCTTCTCTCGAATCAGACAGCTAGGAACTTCCTGAAAGATTCAACTGTTGCCATGTCAAGATGTTCTTTACTGATTCCAAGTAAATCACATGGTTAATAGTACCTGGAAGCATTTATCTAAAATATTAATTTTATAAACATGTTCATTTCCAAGATTATTTATTTAAACATAATTAATTTGCAAACGTAATTTCACTCAGCAAATGTTTACTGAGAGCCCAGTAGATGCTAAGAACCATTCTAGGAGCTACAAACCCTAAAGATCAAAAATAAGACCCACATGTTAAAACATGGAAACATGGGGCACCTGGGTGGCTCAGTTGGTTAAGTGTCTGCCTTCGGCTCAGGTCACGATCTCAGGGTCCTGGGATTGAGCCCCATTGTTGGGCTCCCTGCTTAGCAGGGGAGTCTGCTTCTCCCTCTCCCTCTACTACTACCCCCCTGCTTGTGCTCTCTCTCTCTCTATCAAATAAATAAGTAAAATCTTAAAAGAAAGAAAAGAAAACATGGAAACACAACAAGCAACACGATGTTGAGCTGGTAGTTTTCAAGTGTACACAAATCTTGTATTGATAACTAGTTTTTAAGTGTACACAAATCTTGTATTGGTAACTAGGGTGTGGGGAGAACCACAACAGTCCGAGGACAATTTGGATAGTCTTTGTCGTGGCTTTTACAGCAGTAGGAAGCTAGGAAGCTAGTACACCCAGGTGAAAACCACAATCATTCTGCTCAACAGTGGAGCCAGAACTTAACTTTGAGTGTTGAAGTAACTGTAGTTCCAAAGATAAAGCCTATTTTGTACCACACACAAAGTTATCCATGATCTGGAAGAGAAACTGAAGTCCTTTTACCATGTCCCCATTTTGAAGAAAATAATACATGAAAGTACCCAGCTCAGCTTAAGGCAACACAGAGCCACAAAAGGCAAGCAAAGACAGAAAAAGGAAGAAAGAGATAGGGAAGAAGGGCTTGTTAAATAACTAAACACTGTTCTAAGTGTAAATAGTTAAAAGTGGGTAGGTGGAATTTATCAAGGAGAGAAATCCCAACCTAGCTGGAAGCTTCCGCCGTTCACTAAATGTCAACGACAAATACCAAGAACAAGAGAAGAATTTCCCAGACCTGCCCTACAAAAAAGTGAACTGTAAGGATTAAGCAGAAAGAAAGAATATGCCAGGACTACATGAGACTCAAAGTTACCTGTTTAAGACACTCAGACAGAGGAGAAAGCTTCCCAGATCCCTTAGAAACACCACAATACTGTATGTAACAGAGAGATGAGGTTATAAGTTAACGGAGTTCTCATTTTGCCTACCGTTTCCCCCAGCATGGGCTGGACTTTCTTTTTTCTGACTTGATCTGGGTTTAAATGCAGATTTATGCTGCTAGTTATGTATATATTTTTACTACTAAGTACTAATTATTTCTGTTACTGACACCGTTTTTCAGAACTGCCTTTAATTTTCAAGCTTATAGTAACACTTTTTATGGGCTTTTGAAGCTTTCTGCTCTCTACACCTGGGCAATATGTGTGCGTGTGTGTGTGTGTGTGCATACAGATTTTATTTACTTTAGGTTGTGTGGATGGAGCCATCAGAGATACCTTTGTGTTTTTATGAGCTTTGTTTCAAAATGTTCAGGAGCATCCTTCCGGATTGATAATTTGCAGTTGGGAAATTGCCCTTTGTCTCAAAATACATAATTGAGAGATGGTGCAACGTAATTGTGTACAAGGGAAAATTAGTTCTAGAGGCCACCCCTAGATCCTGTCCGGGAGAAATCCTGTCCACGCTCAAGGCTGTTTCACTACCCACAAATGTATGAGCTCTCCACAGCAATCAATGCCTCATTCATTCCTGAGCCACGTCCGTGGTAGCAGAATGTTCCTATCTAATCCTGACAAGAGTACAATGCCAGTGTGTGTGATTTAACACTGTTTAAGCATCTTTCAGGGTTCATTAGATGCTGAGCAGTTTATACCTTTTTTCTATCCAAATGGGAGTAAATCCCAGAGCGGAAGTGTTCTCTGTCTCCTGCAATTCTGTCAGGAATGACCACTGGCGTCCCTGCAGCTGGCGGAAGGCTAGCTAATGTCCAGCAGAAAGAGGGAACCCTTTCTGGGGTTCTCCTCCATAATTTGTCCTTCAGACCAAGAACAACACAGAGCTATAATTGGATTTTTCCCTCCTTTGTCATGTCTCTCTTTCCTACCCCTTCCTCTCAACTCACGCGTTTACTGCCTCAGGGTCCAGCTCAAATATCAATTCTTCTCTGAAACGGACTTCCCCCTAAAATGTATCTGTTTCCTCTAATTCTACTCAATTAGGACATTTGGTCTGTGGCACTGAACACACAGTGTCCTGAGCTGTACTCGCTCACCTCCAGATCTCATCTCCCTTCCTAGATCATAAAGTCCTCAAGCACGGAGACCACGGCTTGGAAAGAGCAGCTAAGTTCAGTTACAATACAAACACGGTGCCCAATGATGACTTGATAAATGTATCCACTCCAGAAATACTTATTATGCATCTACTATATACCAGGCATAATGGACCCAACTCCTGTTTTGACATGGCTCACAGTCAAGTGGCATGAATGCACGCATGTACAATGCCATCTTGTATGATAACCGATGTTCAACAAATTTCAAATAACCATAATCAGAATAAAACATGTGCCCTGAGAGGAGTCTCATAAAATGTCACAAGGGATCTTTATCTACAAGAAAGAACACTGTTAGCTTCTCAAGGAATTTCCCCAGGGAAGGGGTATAGATATCTCAGGCAATCAGGCTTAGCTTAGCTTAAACAAAAATGTGCAGTTCACAGCTCGAATGACAGAGTATTCTGAAAGAACTCTACCAAATCAAGTCTGATTCTTTTTGCCTCAACAATTGACCTTAGAGAACTTACACTTGACTGAAGTTCCTCTGCTCTCAGACAGAGGTCTCAACACATAAGCTACAATAGTAATAAATGAGTAATGGCAAAGCCCCACTGCTTTCTCACAGCTGCTAGCTTTCAGGGGATAAAAAAAAGAAAAAAAGAAAAGGAAAAACCAGTTTTCTGGGCCTTAATGTTACATTCTGAAAATTTTCCTTTATCTCAAATAATGAGAATCTTGGGAACACCAAGCTTGGCAAAGGTAAAATAATACATATGTTATGCTTTAGACAAGATACACAACCACAAATTGAGCTACTTTTAGCTAGAGCTTCCCTACTTGCCAAGTCAAAGTAGGAAATCAAACTTTACAAGGTGTAGTTCTTGTGATATCGAAGTCCTTTCAACTCTGTTATTTCGTTTAATTTATAAAGCACCTCTACCTGTGGGATACAGTATCCCATTAGGCAGATGAGGAAACAGAATCACAAGATATGTAAGTGGCAAACCCAAGGTCATGCAACCAGCTTAAGCAGGAACCAAAACCTAGGACCTTACTTCCAAGTCCAAAGTCTTTTCTGCTACAACCTATGGCCTCAAAGAATGGATTAGAGGACAGAGCCCCTCATTGAACTGGAAATTCATTTGTTCTTGGGACAGTCAATGAATTAAAGAGAGCATGTGACCGTTACCTCTTTAAGGCAGCCCATGAAGTTGTTGCTGACGGGTGAGCCTGGCAAGTCAGCAGTACTTGGGCTTCCTCCCACGTAGAAGAAGTCGTCCGAGCCCAGCATGGTGTAGTCCTCTTGAGTGTAGCCCGTCGTGGTAAGGATGCCATCCACAGAGATTGTCACCTGGTGGAGGGACATAGGGACAAAAAAAAGTCCCAACAATGACTTTACAGTCCTATCAAAACCCGGTGGCTTCCCCTACCTGTGGCATCACTTTCATTAAGATTTTGGTGAGGTATTCTTTCTAATTTGGTTTGATTTTGGTAGGCGCAGCCAAGTTCCATTTTCTGGTCTGCCTTCCCTGCAACCCAAGCCTCCAGCTTTCCTCTGCAGACTCCCAGGAGACTTTGGGGGAATTGCCAAGATGAGCAACTTGCTCTACCCACTGCACTCTTTACTCAGTCAGGCTAGAAAATGGAACTATCCTCAGACGACATCACTTGTCTCAGTTCATTGGTAAAATGATTGTTTATTTTTTGAATGATTGTTATTTATGGTGGTAGTGAGAAACAGCAAAGGAGACATTTGACAATGGGGTTTGTTAGGGTTGGTCTTTGGTGGTGGATGGTTTTTTTCCTTTTTTCTTTTCTTTTTTTCTTTTCTTTTTATTCGTTTCTTTGGGGGAATCACACCACGCTGACAAACATGCATTCGGGGAGGGAAGGAGAAGGGTCTCATTTTTGATACGTCATGGATGGTACATGCCATGGACTACCCCCAGGACACCAACCCCTGCCCTCCCTTCACTGCCATCACCACCACCAAAAGGAGAAATGACCCAAACCAAAAAGGCAACTCTAACAAAAAGAAAGGAATATGAGGCATAATAACCAAAATAAAAATAATAAGAATGCCCACAGGGAAGAAACAGCACCCACACGCCCAAAATCCATGAAAGGAGCAGAGGGCAAAGAGAAAAGATGGGGCCTCAAAGCGTGCACGCACCATACGCTGACACACCCATGCGAAAACCATCAGGAGCCAAGAGAAAAGGCAGAAGAAAAAGGGCAGGGAAGTGGGCAGGGGTGAGGAAAACCAAAGGGAAGAATCAAAATCCTCTTCACACTTACATGCACTGAACAAAGTGGAACACAAGATGGTGGTAAAAACAAACAACCAAAAAAAAAAAAAAAAAAAACCCAAACCACTCAAAACTAAAGGGTTGTCTTTCCCCTGCCTGCCACCTCCCTCACTAAAAAAAAAAAAAAAAAGAAAAGAAAAGAAAAAGTCCAAACCCAACCCCAAAATATATGAAGGATGAGAGGAGAATGAAGAAGAGTGGAGACAAAAATGAAGAGAGAGAAGAGTGTGGAACTGGGCTGATGATTGACAGGTTGTTAGTAATGAGGAGGAAAATGGTGGGACAAACTCTGATGTCCATGGGGAAATCCACGAGACAGGAACATGCCATGCGGAGTCTGTACGGAGAACACACTGGCAGAGCTCCCTTTGGCCACGGTGGGGAATAGGGTGAAAGCCGGGAAAGGAAGAACAGAGGAAATAGAGTACTTTCCTCCCCAGATCACCTGTGGCAGCCCGTGGCCACACCAAAGGGAAAAAAAAATGGGCTTCAGGAGTGGGGAGGAGGGAAGAGAAAGGAGGAACAGTGAGAGGGGACAGGGAGACACAGAGAGAAGAAAGTCCTCAATAGAAAGCCTGTTGTCCCTAGTCTGTAACTTGGAAGTTGCAAAATAAGAAAACAAAACAAAACAAATTTAGCTAAATTTGGAATTTAAATTAGCTAAAATTGGGAATCTTTCTTTAAAAAAATACTTTTAGGGGGAAAAAAATGACAAACTGGAGAAAAGGAAACTGTCCCAGCCAAACTCCGCCAAATACCATTTCCAGGACAGGCACGTCCCCTTCCATTTTTTTTTTTTTTTCTTTTCTTAACAAAAAAAGAAAGGCTTGCATTTAATCCAACAAAAAAATTTTAAAAGAAGAAGAAAGGAGTCTAAGGAGGATAAAAGGGGGGTTTGGGAAGGAAAAGGGGGGCAACACACGGCAAACCCAAAAAAAGAGACAATAAGAATGATATCTACCAGACAATGTAGTTTGTTTACCATAGCGTGTCCGATGCCTGAGTGCTTTGCGGAAAAGGGGGAAGAAAGGAAATTAAAAATTGTGAACAGAACGATTGTTAATTAAAAAAACTAAAAACAAAGATGAGTCATTAGGGTGTTAGTACATTAGTCGGTTAGTAAAATGACACATTGCATGAATGATCTTGTGTTAGTTTTTCAAAAAAAAGGCACCCGACACAGAAAAAGAGAGTGGGGAAGACAATGAGACCAGGACTCTATGGAAAACCTTGGCAGCCAGGGCAGAGCCAGGAAAGGAGCTGCAATCCACCCTGTCATTGAACTCCCCCTTCTTCCAAACACCGCTCAAACCAGACCTCACCCCAGTTAGAATTAGCATCATACTTACTTTCCAAGGGCTCTTCTGAATGAACACCATTTTCCCTTCCCACCCTCTAGCACATACACAGCCCACCTATCCTGAAAAAAAAACACCCCTGAAGTTTATCATTTCACATGTAGGTAGATAGATAGGTAGAGCTAAAGTACCAATATTCTGGGGACTTTTTTTTTTTTATATATATATCTGACTCTGACTACATGCATGGATGATTATGACTTTCAATAGAACAACAAAAAAAACATAAAGCATCTATAGGTCGCCTCTAGCACAGGAAGGCTACATGATGTAGCTTATTCTGGGTTTCCATAGATGATTAAAGATCCATGACTCCCTTGATTTTGTGTGGATATGTGCAGCTGGAGGGGGACATTCTCCTCTCTGCTTTCCTCTTGGTCGACAAGAACCGTGTTGTCAGAGTGCATCAGAATAGTTGGGAGTCTTCTTTATTTCCCAATGTAGTTATTGTTTTGTTTTCTTTGCCAGAATGCTGGCCGTTGGAATTGCTCTCCCCCCATCCCCCTTTAGAAAATGGTTTTCATGCTTTTAAGCAATTTCTTGTATGGATAACAGAGAGGACTGGCAGGTTAAACATGATTAAAGAAGCCCTACAATTTGTCTCCTCTGACTATTTTCAAATGCTAAATGGCTAATACACCCTGAGCTGGGAGGCTGGAAGGCTGGAAGATCAGTAACCCCAGTTTTGTGTTTGTGGTTTCACTAAAGCGGCATTAGAGGTAAAACAATTCACATGAGGGCCATGTTCAAGGTCATGGGTTTTAAAACAGACCTAAAACAAACCCAGAGAAACGCATCACTACCTTGGTCCCTAATCCCAGTGACAGTTTGGAACAGAGAGTTCACATTCCTTCCTTTAATCAGAAGCCCCAGTAAAGTAGCTGGCCTCAGTCCTGACTTGGATCAAAGGTTGAACCATGAGTAGATGACCAAGAAGGAAGAAATGGGCAAAGTTCTGCTCCATTTAGTAATGAATACTCCAGGAAACTCCAAGTAAGCATTCCTCGGATGAGTTTTTGCCACAGAAACCATTCGACCTTACCAAAGAAGTATATGAGACAGTCACAAGCTTGTTATCAAATATTTATGAAGCAATTTACAGTTTAATTGAAATAGACAGGGGCTTCCAACCCCTTCAGTTGTCTCCTACAGAACTAAAGAAGATGTTATAAATGTATTTTTAATGGTCAAAATAATAATCTTAGATGATTCAGCACTGAAAGGATTACATTTGCAAAATCAACTCTGCTTTTTGGAGATTTCCCTCTCTTTCAATAAATTGCATTTGGATGCAAAATTCAGTCGGGATTTCATTAAAGACCAATTTTAGGGGCACTTCCTCTATGAGATTCATATTCCCTCTGCCAAGAAATGCCCCCCAACACCCTCAGGCCTCTGTCGCCTTGTCCAGAACTGAGAGCTCTGTTTAGCAGCATCGTTGGTGACAGACAGACACAGTCACCTTCACAACAGAATACTCAGCTTATAAATCGTGGGCATGTCACAGTGAGTCTAGCACCCAGACCATGGAGGAGCTCATAATCCTTCTGGAACATAAGGTGCTTTGCATATTTAGCCACCACACATGGCTGGGGACAATTGTAATCACCATTTCACACAAATGGAAACTGTGGTGTGGCAAGGTTAAATGGTTTGTCCAAGGGCACTGAGGGAGCTGGGTCTTAGAACTTGGAAGAGAAACCCTCCAGGATTGCTCTCCTCTGCTTGCTCTGACTAAAACAGCACAACCAATGTTTGAAGAACAGCTTGGTTTATCCCCCACTCGGTTTAAAGGCTGGAACTGGGGGCCAATTCTATTTTAGAAAAGTGTTTTTAGTGGAAATAAAAGTGAGCCTTTCTCCAGCTAATTGGAATCGTTCTAGAATGGCAAGGAAGTACAGGGAGAGGGAGAGAACCAGAGAAACAGACTGGTTGGTGAGAATCACAACCTGACCCTGTTCCCCTGTCATGTATGAAAATTCTCCCCTCCCCTACAGCCTAAAGGGTGTTACTGTGTACCTGCCAGCCAAAACTGGTCATATGTTACTTTTTGGACTAGTCTCTGCAACTCAAACACATCACGCCTTTATATGTTAGCAAATGGAAATTCGACTGGGGCCCTCTTGACAGCTGAGCTGAGCTGAGCTGACTAAGTATGGATGGGGTATTATTAAAGAAAACATTAGCAATTGGATCCTTTGGCCTTGGTGGAAAAACAGAACAGTGATTCAAAAATGTCCAGTCCCGGGGTATTAAGAGGACTGGGGGCTCTAAGACTTGTGTGATTTGGTAACATCACCACAGATAGAAGACCATCTCCCAACCGGGTGGCTTCCTCAACATACTTAAGCATTACAATGGGTGTTTTGAATATTGTGAGTTCCCAGTGCCTGTGAACCTTCTCTGTTCACTTAGCAATACTAAGGAGTCGCCCTTTTATCAAACAGAAAACATATGCAAACACTTGTCCGTTCTTACGCTTTCATATTTACATTAGAAGGCATTAAATCAATCACACTGCAGAAGAAAATCTAATAAGCACTCTCTGGAAATTTGCATAATGTTTTCTGATTAATAAAGGATTAACCCTGTCTAACTGGGTTTAATGACAAAATCACAAGGAGAAAAACCAAGTGCAAATAGCAACCCGGAAAGAGGCATCAGCACAGACCTTGACTTTTATAGGAAATGCTTTTCTTCTTCACTGATGTGGGCTGGTGAGGTGTTATTATTATTACTGTTGTGACTGTTATTATTCATTGTGAAACTGAAAACAACTTCACTTGGCTAAGGCTTTCTGAGAGCGTTGTCACCTGACGGAGTTGCCTGCTTAGAATCGGCAAGCGATGGGAGTTCTCAAGCACGAACAGAACCAGGAAAGGCTGCTCCAAAGTTGACTTTTTTATTTGGATCCTTCCACTTTCCAGGCCTCCCAGTCAACTGAAGAGCCTCCGAGGTAGAGACGGGGGCAATAAAGTAGGACCACCGCACCAAGGAACAGAGAAACAGAGGAATTCAGAAAGATTCCAGCTAATTCATTCTAAGGCTATAGGTTAACATAAGAACAGAAAAAAAAAAAAAAAAAAAATGAAAGCAGAGGAGGGGCGGTAAATTAAAAGGACGAGAAAAAGGAAGACTTTTTTCTGGAAAGAATTAAAATCATGGCATCATGGCAATGGCTAACTTAACTAAAAAGAAAAACATATATTCAGAAAATGAGGAAAATCTAGCAAGCTGCAGACACAAAACGCTGTCCCTAATTGAATTTGACAATAATGCAAGATTCAAACGTAATTAAGAAAATGATAAAAAGGAAAGCAGAATAAAAGGAAAGTATTTATTACTTTTATTATCTACACAACTGAATTTTTTTCTGAAAAAAAAAAAAAAAAACAAGCATAAGTGGAGAACTGAAGTAGGAGGACAAACGTATTTTCATAATTTTTCCTTGTGAAACTGCAAAGACTGGGGAGAACGTTAGGCTTCGACAAATCCAAAGCTGTATCTATACCCTTTTCCAGTTCGTCCAGCACCTGCTTCACTAACCTCCTCCCCCACTACCCAAGAGGAGCCTCCGGGCACTCTCTCCCCTCCGCCATTACCTGCCGGAGGTTACGCGTGACTTTGACATCATGCCAGGCGTTGTCGTTGAATTTTCCATTCACTGGCTCCACGATGGCCTCAAAGGCCCCGGACCCCAGGTTAATGACCAAGGAGACCGCGCCATCCTTCAGAGCCAGGTTGACATAGTCAGCTGACTTGCCCGTGTGCAGGATGAGCCCGTTCCGCTGCCAGGTCTTAAAGGAGAGGGTGATTTCATCACTGCTGCTCTGGATCGGGTTCTGAGACAGGTCGTAGCACAGGTACTCGGAACCTCGAAAAGTGGCCACATTCTCCTCTCGGGCTGCGTGAAAAGGAAAGAGGCGAGCAGTCACCACCTGACTGGCATGAGTCAGGAGTATGCAAATACCAAAGAGAACATGGCCCCCCAGGGCAGTGCCCCTGCCAGGGAGCTGCTATCCGCATGAGCTCCCTCCAACGCTTCCACCAGACCTGTGTCTAAGTACTAGGGAAACCGCAAGAGACAGTAACTGCCGAGGAGCTATCTATCCTCACAAGGGTGGAAGACCAAAGTGATGGCGTAGGAGAGCTTGCTGCCTTTCCTTCCCATTTTCCCAGAGAAAAACCTAGAGGGGAATTTTATGCAAAATGGTAGAGTGAGGTTTACGTTGCTTTTGCTTCAATGATGGCTTTTAAATGCCATCCACGTCCGAGAGCTCGTGTAAAATGGAAAATTAACTCTTCTCACAAAGGGTTCTTTAGCTCCAGGTACCTTTTATTGACCAATAACTAAAAATCAATTACCCTGAAAGATCTGGCTCTAATTTCCATCCATCAATAACCCAGCTAACTTTGGTTTCCATGGTAGAGTCCTGAGCCCAGTGGAATGGGACAGGGTTATTAAATAGGAGGTTGGACCTGAGAAGGTGATTAAGCAGATGAGGGAAAGGGGACAGAATGGAATTTGGTGATACGCTTTGACAAGAGAGCAATAGCTCCCTTTCAATCCAAAGGGATCTCTGCTCTAGGGTCTCCCAATTTAGATGGCCCTGGTCGGACCATCCTATAGAACATCCAGGGTCAAGACAGCATTCCACTGGAGTGTATACTCTCCTTCAAGGCCACACCATGGGATCCTCTAATTCCCTACCCAAGGAGCCCCAGGCCTGTTTCCAGGGCTTCTGCAAGGCTCTGCCCTGGACTCATTTTCCAACAGCAAATCATGCCATCAGTGTGCATACCTCAAGGTCTGAGAACTAGCAATGGGGGACCATTTGCAGGGAGTTAGAGCTTGGCCACATGGGCGTCCACATGCATTTATACCAGAGCCCTTGTGGATACAGTATGGAGCCAAAGGTGGAAAGAGGAAGGGGACAGGCCACAGGTTGACAACCAGAGGGGCTGGTTCTCCCTGCGCCAGCATATCCCAGGATAGAACTCTGAGGAATCCAACAATTCTAAGTGTGCACCTGGCTTACCAGGTAGTTTCAAAGGTGTATTTATCAAGGTAATGACATGTTTTATTTAATCATTTGTTGATGTAATTTATAATTTCAAAACCCACTTGTCCCCCTACCAGGCAGTCTGACTGAGAGTGGCCTACTGCATATCAGGGTTGGCCAAAAGCTAGCAAAAGCACCTCATCATGAAAGAAAATGGGCAACAATACAAGGTTGGATAGGCAGTTTCCCATTATAGAGAGGGGGTTACAAAATAAGGTTGGGCAAGTTCTATTTTCTCTTCTAGAACTACACTTCAGCCTTCGTGACCAAAGTCAATTCCACCTCAACTTAGAACCTTATCAACCATCACAGCCCTTGGTAAGTCACTTACATAAAATAAATATATTCTCATGATTAGGTAAGAACTGTAGAGAAAGCACTCATCATATGGGAGAGATGACCACCCACTACAGTCTATATTAAACTAATTATAGAATCATGACAGCCTTGGGCGCCTGGGTGGCTCAGTTGGTTAAGCGACTGCCTTCGGCTCAGGTCATGATCCTGGAGTCCCTGGATCAAGTCCCGCATCGGGCTCCCTGCTCGGCGGGGAGCCTGCTTCTCCCTCTGACCCTCCCCCCTCTCATGTGCTCTCTGTCTCTGTCTTAAATAAATAAATAAAATCTTTAAAAAAAAATAAAATAAATAAAAAAAAAAAAGAATCATGACAGCCTTAAAACACGAACCTCAACTTTGTACTCCAGAGAGTTAAAGAAGAGATCAGGCTTGTCCTGTGTATTTCAGAGGGTCTCAATGATGTATCTACCTGCATATCTCTGTTTGTGTGCACACACATGCGTGCACGCGCACGCACACACACTGGTATAAGCAAAAGGGACCTGTCCACCTATAAATGACCACAGTGTCTCAGCAAGCACTACTTGGCACATAACCCATGTCTGATGCTTTTTACCAAAACAGATAAAAAAATAAAATCATGGAGCAGCAATTTGATACCATCTATATGTTTGAAACAGATGTATCCAACCCCCTAGTGCCCTGTCTATTGTCATGATTTCTTCCCTCATTTCTGAAGAAATGACTGTGTTAAAATGCATTTGGATGAGCCTCTGTTTAGGAGACCAGGAGGTGAACCTGACCTAGAGTAAAGGACGGCAAATCAAATTCAGTTTTCACCAATAAACTCTTTTCCTATGGATACGTATGCGCACAGAGCCAACTGCTATGCCTGTCCTTGGTGCCACATGTGGTATGATAACGGGTGTCTTCTATAAACATTTAAGTTAGACCTTATGTGCCCACCGAACTGAGAAAAATGAATAAGGAAATGAGTGCCTCTAAAAAGATGCTTAAATTAATCACTGAGTACCCTTCAAGGGGGAAAGGTTTGATACAGAACGGTAAGGCACCAGGATGTTATTTGATGTGCTATATGGGGCTTAATATTTGTCATGTAATTGAACCAAGGAGTATGCAGAAATAATAAGTTTTGGAGCTTATAAGGGATTTTAGAGCTTACCTGATTTAATGACCCACTTTTTTTTAACAAGGAAGAAACTGACAACTAAGAGTAAGTGTTGCCCAAGACCACACAGTTGGTGTTACTCTGGACTTCTAGTGCCTATCTGGACTTTTCTCTAAATATCCTTTTACCCATCACTTTGGATGCAGCACGTTGTTCCTACTCTACTAAACAGCACGAATGATTCCACAGAGCCATGCATTAACTTACAAACCATCCCAAACCTTGGATAAATTGAGCCAGAAATGTATTTCCCCCCCTACCCTACGTAAATCACACTTAACTAAAATTAATGTTCCCCTTTCCTCCTGGATTCTGGGTGTGTTTAAAGCAATAGAACTTGTTTTATGTGGAGGCCAGAGAAGAAAAATGACATTATTGTAGAGAAGAGAATATCAATAAATAAACAAGAAATAAAACCAACCATGAGAAATCATCTATGTAAATCACATGCATATTTATGCTAATCTCCATGCAAATTCACCAACAAAGACTTTATGTAGCTGAGTGCATCCCTTTGCAAGTAATCAGAGGAAAATGTTGTAACCGTTCACAACCTTCCCAATCTCTTCATTCAATGATGAATTTTCCCGGTTTGCCTCTTCCCTGGGCTGGAGGAGGCTACCAAGAGCAGCATCACCCCAGATGCTATCTCCTCCACATGTCTCGTGTTGACACGAGACACCTGAAAGCTACTCTCTGAGTCATATTCTAGATAAGCCAAATTGTAACATTTTTAATGCATGGGATACCTTCCTCCTGATTGTGTGGGGAGGTGGGGAGGAGAGGCATTGACAGTGCTTGACCTGGTCTTTAAAAGAGCAAATGAGGGGCATGGAAGAAAAAAGAGTGAGAACGTTGAAGAAAGCGTTCCTTTGCATAATCTCACAACTGATTTCTCCTAAGATCCCAATCTTTCTTAATTTCCTTCCAGTAGCCAAAGCTTAAGCACTGCCTTATCACCTTGAAAGCCATACTAAATTGACAATGAACATAAATAAAAGGCGCAAAACTAAATAGTGACAAACACATTTCTAAGCCCATTCAATTCTCCAAACTCTCCATTAGAAAAATGTAATATTGCCCCAAATTTGTTTTCTATATTTAGTGTTTACACTGAGAAGGAGGTTGAAGACACAATGCAGTCACCTTGTATGTATTCAAGCAAAATAGGTAGAGACAATGGATGCAGAGGATTATGTAACAGAGTACACAACAGCTTTGCATAAAGCTCCAACTTGGCAAGAGAGCACGCACTGACATGGCTAATGGACTGTTTAGATCCACTTAAATTATATAACCCCGAAGTTTACAATCAATTGCATAAGTGTTAAAATAAAAATGTTAGTCTCACTGCATGGAAAGCAGAGCTCAACTGTATGACAACAAATCATTTCCCCATTATTTGTAAGTGTCCAATTGATTAAACACTAGATGCAATCTAGATATGTATAACCCAAGATTTTAAATCAGTTTGTACAAGATATGTAAAGTACTGGGTCTTTCAAAGGCTTGTTAATCCAAGTACTACATATAAATAGCATTAACAAGCATTTATTCAATTCTATTTTCCACTCTCTCCCCCCAAAAAATCCAACTAGTGATTTATTTAATAATATCTCCATTTCTCTGAGAAATTGCAAAGCAGATTAAAATATTCAGTGTAATATGTTTTTACCATGCAGTCTAAGAAGTGTGGAGAAATGCATATCACTGTTTAATTGGGCCTGTGGTTTCTGAGAGCTTGATGTCTCAGGCTTTGAGATCAAGAAATTCAGGCTTTATTCTGAAGGTTATGAGGAGCCATGGCACAATTTTACTGAAAGGATGGAGGGTCTGATTTGTATTTTTAAAAGATCACATAATCTTTTAAAAAGATTTTGCAACTCAACTTATGTTGGGTTGAGAGTGAACTGAAAAGAAGAGTGAACTGAAGGCAGAGAGCCC